GCGAGATTTATATTAGATTTCAAGACTGGTATTCGTAGTTGCAAATTATTCACGATGTTTGTACAATCGAGTGCATATTTAATTGCAGATTCGTATTCATCTCGACTTTTATAAAGATATTTTACCATTCTTTACCCGCGAAAACGGTTAGGTTGAGTAGCAAGTTTGAGTAGTTAGTTTGAGAAAGCGTGCATTCAGCTGAATGAGTATGACTGCGTTTTTTAGTAAAAATAGGGCCGTACGAGGAGTAAAATCGGTGAAATATTTCTGTAAGGGGATCAATATTTTTTTTATATAAAACAAATATAAATTAATTGATGTACTCTAAGGTGCTCTAAGGTTCATATAAAGCTGGAATTATTTATTAAATAATAATAAATCATATGAATACCAGCCTAAATTTCTCGGGTTTACTCTCGTTCTTGGTTCGTTAAATGTTTATTTGATGTCAAATTGAAAAGGTTCATAATGAATATTTTGAAACCATACCTGAAAATATATGCTGTCTGCGTACTGGCATTTTGCGTCCTCCGTCCTGGCTTGCCGATTTCTCGGCTGCTCCGTCGTGACTCCGAATAATCATTTGTGGTATTGACATTAACATTGTCCTAACACTCACGCACATACAATTCCATCGGAGAAACGCGTATTAATTAACACGACGTCGACAAGAGTCCGGCATTAAATACTCTAAGAACCGACGAAAATCTTGAGTAACGTGAATACACATTAGTATACACGTGCTCGCGATACATATCGCTCGCCAGCTCGAAACGTAATAACTCGGTCGCGGAAAGTTACGCGACGCACGAAAATATCCCCGAAAAATAAACTGGAAACAAGGACAGACATATTTCGCGCCAGCCGTCAACCGTCATCGTCTACCAATCAATAATGCGTACCTAACCTTGGCGACCGAGAAATTAAAAACAAACTTTGAAACATTCGGCAAGTATTCTCCCCTTAAGTTTGAAATCTTAAATTTACGAACGTCGACTTTTCACTTCTGTTCAAAAGATTACAATTATTGTCCCGAAGTGAAATTTAAATCTCCGCCGTAATATTCAACGTTATTCTTGGTACATGCACATGCAGTTATGTTATTTTTACCCTTACTACTTTCACATTTTATTTCAGCATTTGTCTCAGCAGTAAGATTCACTTCCAACTCGGTCGGTATAACCGATAGTCGAGTAACTAAACCTAAGCTCGCGGGTATCGCCCAGATACCCGAGTACCCGAGTAGCGCAAGGTATAGAAATACTCGGCGTATACCGACAACTCGAGGCTCGCGAGTACTGAAAGAGGAATTGAGATGAAATATGAATATCCGGCATGGTGCGAGAGGGTGCAAACGACGTTCCATCACGGTGGCGCGATCAAACGGGCATTGCCATTGTCACAATAATACGCCTATCAATAATCCCGACGGTTAGCCCCTTAACAATAAACACGGGAAATTAGCGAGGGAACGTGTCGGGGCTGGTGGCGCGCTCGTTCGACGTATACAACATAACGCGTATAGTCGCGAGATCGAGGCTCCGGACGCAATAAGCCGCGGCCGCGCACTCCGGAGAAGAGAGAACGAGGGTCCGTGGCCGAATTTATAACGAAATATATAGAGCGGCGACCCTCGCGAGGAGCTTTAATCTCTTTCGCAGCCGAGGGGCACGCGGAGGGGGCACGAAACGGGGCGCGCACGCCTCGGCGGAGTCCCACGGAGAAGAGAGCCCGGGGATTATGCGCGAGAACGGGGAAGAACCGCCGTGGGGCCCCACCGGGTCCTCCATTGTTGGAGATCCTCTCCGGCGCATAATACCCCCCGAGTACGAGCCTGTAAACTTATCAGTCGGACGGTCGCGAGCGGCATCGATGCGCCGCTCGATAATACCGAAAAACCCCGATGATATACGGCGCGCTGCCGCGATCGAGAGGCCGGAGATCGGGCCCGGCGTCCTGATCGCTCGGCTCGGCCGTTCTGGATGCGTAAATCGGGATCAGATCACTTTGCATGCGCGGCCGGCGTTCTCCGCGCACACGGCGCGCAATGAGCTCGCCCGGGTCTTTTCAGGGTGTTTGATTCTGGTCGCGCGCGAGACCACCGGATCAACATATCCGGAGATTTTATTGGCCTTATACGGGCTCGCGCAAGGTCTCTCACGAGGTTTCGGCTCCTCCACCATGTTCGGTGTCGAGGCTGAAAGCCCGGCGATCGGCGTATGTTATCCTCGCCATAATAATCGCCGAGTTACGCACGTTTAACGCGCCTTAAGACACGATGCTTACGCGCCTGCCGGTTCGTGCTGGGGGTGTACAACGTACGAACAGCGAATGTGTAATACGAATGTTCGTACTCGCGTCGAAATGTACACGAGTTTTTCTTGATAAAGCAGTTTATCAGCAAATCGGCCCGCTCTGTTCAAATTCGTTGTGACAAAATGTCGATGACAAAATGGCGATATTAAGCAGTTGCTACGTAAATTTGTTATTTATTATTTATTATTTATGTCATTATTTATGCTATTTTCAACGCTGGCAGTGAATTTTGGAACACAGCCGAAGGTGCGTCGCGAAAACTCGAGTTGTGTCGCGCTCACCACGCTCGTTCCCTCTTTTTCGCAAAGAAGCGTGGCGACCATTTGATCATCCTTGATGAACATCACGTGTGGAAGATCGGATATTCTCCGGTTTTCATCGAGCGACGAGGAAGCGAGAGAATGAAGTATCTCCCAGGAAAGATTTCATAAATCACCGTTTTAAAGACCCGCACACGGTGTCACGTGTTAACCATTCGCGCACGAATCGCGTTAATCCTCGACGGGAAAGAACGGATCTTCCTCACATATGGGAAAAGCGTGGCGCCGTACCGCGGGGGTTGTGTGTCCACATACATATATTCCCATAAACGGATCTGTCCCATCTGCCATAGAACAGGAAGATCATCGTTCTCGATAAAGTACCTCCGGTGGAGGTTTCCAAACCGATAATGGCCGCCAGAGATTATTCACAGCGAAACATCAGTTGGGATTCATCCGACACATGATATTTCGCGCCGGACGTTTATCGCGATTTAATAAATAATTATTCAAGTTGCGGGAATCTAAAATTGAAATTCCGCGCGAGGGTAGGACTCCGTTTCGAATAACGCGTGCATTATAAATTCGGCAAGGGCCTCCGGCCCGGTCGGTTCGAGCTCTCCCAGGTTTAGCAGCACAAATGAAGACTAGATCTAGGTCGAGTCCTGCCGAACCCTCCAATCCCTTCGGCATAATCAGCGCAGCCCTCGGCAAAAAGCTTTCTGTGCGCGTCGCGGTTGCTTCTTAAATTATAATTTACGGATGCGCACAAACATTTACACGCTCCGATTCAACATTTAGTCCAGTTGCATCGACTACGGGGCGATTGTTCGGTATTTTCATACCGACCTTATTGTCGATTTTGTTCGATTGACTTCGAAAAACTAGCCACTCGATAAATGGTATCCCCATAAATAATCGCAGCTGCTTTTGAATCCTAAATTGTAAAAGTTTCTTTTAGTAATACATACAAATACGAACAAACTCAAATAACGAAATCTGTATATTCGCCAGTGGACGATTGCACAACCGGTTCTTTTTTTATTTCCCCGAGCAAAATCATATCTCGCTTATACGTCATTCTCACGAGTGCACCGCCCTGAAACACGAAACTTCCGCGACGTGGTGAGTGTGGTTCTTCCTGTCTTTTGCCGCGGTAGGAAACGCACCACGAGCGGAATTGAATTATTTCGTCGAACTTCTTCCTTTCTTCCTCTTTCATTCATTCTTTCTTGCCTGAATGTACATATTAAAGAATTTTAAGGCCGCCACGCGATCATTCGCGATCACGTGTTCATCCGCGAGCGAAGTCGTGCGCGAGATCACCGCCGTGCGCAACGTGCCGTGCGTCGCGCGAACCGTATCAAAATCTGACTTTATTATTATCGCACCATTGTGCCGCAAAATCAAATATTTTCAGCGGTTTTATTGCGGCACACAGTATACACATGTGCTTTCTCATGGTGTATTCTGTTCCGCCGTTCAACGGCGGAGATTAAAGCGCCCCGTTCGGGCGGGGCGAAAATGCAAATCACGAAACGCATTTATTTGGCACGAATATCTAGCACGGGGATCTACGTAATCTCCGATCGCCGTGTCATGCCTGAGAATCGCGATATCTCCGCGGGAGTAACTTTCGTTAAATGGAGAGTAGACGCGAGAACCCGCGTCGGTGTGTCTCTCCAGGTACACCATACGGCGATCACGATGGATACAAACGTATGAATTCAGGGGATACGAAACGGCGCTAAGCCGATCAACAATATACAATATAAACGCGTCTATACTTGATATCGCGCTCTCCGACCGCGAATATCGAAGTAAGGCAATAACGAACAAAGTACATAATAACGCGGCCCTCTTTAATCGCGTATCGACCGCCGTTCAATTACGCATTAGATTACCAGGATCACTTTGTCTTTCGTATAGTCTCCCGCGGCCGACACCACCGGTACGAGAAGTGGTAGCTGCGGGCAAGGTACGTACGCACTCACGCATATACACACGCGCCTTACCAATGTGCGTCACGCACTTATTGCTGGGCCGTAGGACCCACACACGTAGTCGCGCAACCGGCACACGCTCTCTCTCTCCACCGGCATATGGCGCGCACGGTCCCCCTTTTCAATTCCGGGGGAGAAGAAACGAGGGGCTGCGGCGCGTGCTGAAAATCCCCACCATCTCTCTCTCTCTCTCTCTCTCTCTTTCTCCCTGTCTCTATCTTTTTCTCTCGCTTCCTCTTTTTCTCTTCCCGTCTCTTTCAACCGTGCTGTCCGTGCCGCCGGTTTCGCTCCCTCTCGCGCAGGGCGCCCTTCTCCCTTCTCGCCCCAACCCCACGACCCAACTCGGCGCGGTGCGGCAAAATACTGGAACCTAATCCATCTATCGGATGTCCGCGCTCATTCCCGTCGCGGACGCCATGTAGTGCGTAGCACGGAGGCACACGATCGGCGGACAGTGGTGCTGGTGATGCGCGATCGTGAAGATCTCTCTTCCGGCGACGGTAGAGCTACCAACTAGTCCCAGGGGCCCTTTGTACGGGGGGACCTCGAGTAAGTTCCGAAGCTGATCGCACGTGGTTCGCGCGCCGATCGTCCTCGTTGCGAGTGAAGAGCGAAGGTAACCCCCGGGCTCGAGTGGATGCTTCAGAGTTCGCAGAATTTCGGATCGAGCCTTCTTCTTCGCGTGTAACACTCAGGAGGAGCGTCCTCGTGCAGACGAATGAGAAAATACCAATTGTGCCTGGTGTATGTGTGTGATAGAAACGAGTAGATGGGGCGCTCGCTTGATCGTTAATACATATTTATGCTGATACCGAGCAGAACAAACGACAGGTCGAGATCGCTCCAACCTCGTCGGTATAAATCGAAGTACAAAACTACTTAGATTCGACGTGCTCTCACTTTGATATCGAAGCCGCGCGTAAAAAAGTCCAAGGCAAATGGCGGTTGTCACTCGTACGAGCATCGGACGACCGACATTAATCATTGGCTGATCGAATGTCGGGGTGGTATCTTCGATACAAACGACTCGAGATGGATGACACAGTGATTAGTTAGTGAGACCGTGCTCGCGGTCGGAACTTCAATCTGGATCGCAATTCAATAATTTGTGCTCACCACACATGTGCAACATACGGTGCGTACGCCAACGTTTTAATCGGAAAGACGAAAGTGCTCCAATTGGCGACCCCGTATGAAGAAATATCGAGAGAGAGAGAGAGAGAGAGAGAGAGACAAGCACATACACACATACACATAGTCGTTGACAACGGATATCATTGAAACCCAAGTGCCTTTGGTTCATTTAGATTTGTTCCTTTGTAAGGAAAATGTTCCACAAATAGAGGAATAGAGACGTTCGAGGAGAGAGATCGTGAATGTGTCGTGTGCGGACGGAAACATCACCTTCATGGCAAGCACCGTCCGAAAGTCTCTTCTGCAGGAACCGCTTTGATATTCGGCAAGTACTCAATTGGGAGCGCGCGTTATTTTAAAGGCACAATCCCTCTCAGACTCTCGGTAGAAACCCGGCCATAACGTAAACCGTACATAGTAGATTCTCGTGGAGCTCGATACACGCTGAACTATCCGGAGATCGTTTGCTCCTCGACTTCTCTTAATTGGCAATCAGCGTCGGGAGCGCGCGCGATACGTGTGCGCAGAATCGATTCGAATCGGATTCGGTGGACGACGTTAGGCGTGATAGACGCGCGCCGTCGTGAGGGAAATTACGGATTGACAAGCGGACGTATCGCGGTCGAGGCATGGTTTGTTTTGGGAGATCTGGACAATAGTTTCCGAGGAGTCGACGACCGTCGTGGAGAAGAATAGACGGTGACCTCATGCTTTACTTAAGCCGCGGCGACCGGCAGCGAGACAATTGGATCTCGGTTCGGGTCATCAGCTTCGTGGGTTAGTAGAGGAAGAGAGTACAGACCTATTGCTGCCGCGGATAGTCCTACATCCAAATGCGTTTTCATACTTCGCAATCGCGAGGAGTAGAAAAGTATCTCACACGCCGTCCGGGAGAGAGGGGAACGGGGCTATTCTCCGGATACGTTTCGCGCGTTATTAATTGCAGTGCCATTGATCACAGTTTAAAAGCTTTTTTCACGAGCGACAGTTTCGACCCAGATTCAAATTGACACCCAATCGGAGCGTCGTCCAACGGTCTGCGTCGATAATCGGCCTTTGTCTCCGGCGAGGAGAACGGCACGGTTTTATTTATAAGTCCACCAATTAGGTTCGTCCTCGACGAGCATTAGTGTCGCTTATCGACCGTCCGGCTCCGCTGTCCTAGCGCAACTCGTTTAATCGACGCTATTGTGGAAATTGCTCGGGCAACGGCGATACGCCAAATTTACAGGTCGCTTTTGCGGAATCTCCGGAAAGTTGCTCCGATATTTTTAACGCACAGTCATTCCCGTCTCTCGCTCGCGACATTCGCGCAGCAGCCCGTTACACTGGTCTCTTCGTCGAAAGAGAGACTTCGATCCGTGAGAGATCTCCGACGATGGTCCGTCGGAGGTCAGTCGCTTAGAAATCCTCCGGAGATCGTGGAGAATCGAGCTTCACGAGAAGAACGGGAAGAGTTTCCTTTCCTCGAATTCGCGAGCATTTCGACGGTGAATTACACGCGCCGCTCGCACTGACCCGCAGGTCGGCCTGAACGTCGCTTAGGGAAACCTCCTTTAAACTTGGAGATCGCGATGGCGACCATGGGAGTGACGGTGTTCTGCAACAGGGTGCAGATCAACGGCAACGATCAGGAACAGCTGATGCTGCTGCGAACGTTACAGGACAACGAGAGCAACATCATCGGCAACCAACCGCTGATCGTGCCGAAAAGCAACGTCGTCGGCAACACAACAAGTTCCACGGCGGTGTTACCCCCTTACGATCCCTCCAGACTGAAGAAGCACGGTAAGAATGGGCAACCGCCGCCCGTCGCCGTTGCTCGGCGAAACGCTCGGGAACGAAATCGCGTGAAGCAAGTGAACAATGGATTCGCTACATTGAGACAACACATTCCGAGCCACATCGCCGCGGGTTACGGGGACAGGGGTAAGAAGCTGTCCAAGGTGGAGACCCTCAGGATGGCGGTGGAGTACATCCGAGGCCTTCAGAGACTGCTGGCCGAGGCTGACGGCGTCGAGTACGATTCCAATGCCGGTGCCGGCGCGCAGTGCGTCCCTTCTCCGACCAGCAGCGTCGTCTCATCGACCCACAACGGTTCCGGCGAGAGACTCGCTCTCGAGGACGACGTACTGGCCGTGGAAGACGACGAGGCGGAGCAACTGGACGAAGAGGAGGACGGGAATAATGTGAAGTCGAGGATCACGTTGTCCAGGTAAATTCTGGACTGAACGAGGCTGAGGAGCGAGAAACGCGACAAAGTGTTCTCGGGGGTTTCGCTCTTACGACAGAGCGCGACTTTTGCTTTCCAGTCGCACACACTGACCTCTCGTTCTCTTCTCTCTTCGTAGATTATCCCCCAATCGGACGGCCGACCCATCGCCGCGCGAATATTACGCGTCCCCGGCCGGCGACGAGGAGAACTTGGAGCCGCGCACCATAACGAGCGGACAGAATTTCTCCCGAAATCTCTCGCCGAACTCCGTAGCCTCGCCGCCGTCCGAATATTACGCCCAAAACGAGGAGAATCTGGAGCCGCAGATCCTGTCGCCCTACAGCGGCGCCGGTGACAGCGAAGAGGGCGCGACTACCATTTACGCGACCAGTCCGGATACCTTCTCGGGGGCCCTCTACTACAAGCAAGAGATCACCGAGACGGGGGAATTCATGGACGTCGTCAGCTGGTGGGAACAGGAACAGGGCAGGCTCGTTCATCAACAGCACACGCAACGGCTGACGCACGTGTAACCATAGGTGAGTCCCTGACGAGTTTAACGGCAGTCCGTTCGAATTCGGAGGCTATGGTCAGCTCAGTCGATGAGCGCAAATTATGGGAAAGATCACGTGCAGTCAAGGGGATTCTAATATCGGCAACGAACTTTATCAATATCGTAGTGGCGATCCTCAAAATGTTACGTTACGTAGAACAAAGTGTTAATAAATAGTTAAATAAATCATTACTCCGATATCCCTTAGCAAATTTCCATTTGGATTAAGTAAACTTTACTTCAAGTAAATATCTTATTTGGATAATTTACTTGGAAAATATTATACTTGAATCATGTAAATATTATTTGATCCGAGTAAACATTTGCTAAGGGATATTGCAGTAGTTATTCGACTCGAATTTAACACTTCTTTTCTATGTAAACACCGATCACGCTATTCTTTTTGTAAATTTCGTACATATACATCTCACTTACATATATTATATCTACTTTGAAATTTTCTTGTCATTTTCATCACGTACTGAGTAATTCATTTTCGCACGTATTTTCACCGTGTAAAAGCATTTATATAATCCTATACAACCGATAAGACCTAAACTCTGCAAGAGAAAATCAGTATTCTGTCTTAAGTGCGAAAGAGATGAGAAGATTCAATGTTGCCTAATGAAAAATCTTACATCGATCGATATATTTTCGAAAAAGCATTATTGCTGTACTTTTCTGCGAACAATGAAGTATTTCGCTTACGTTCGGGTACGTCACGTAGAGTAAAAAGAGAGATAATCACCCGGCAAAGTAAGGATTGCGCTCGATCTTGAGCGACGGTCGGTTGCGATAAATAAAAAGAGCCCTTTTCGTAAAAACGATATGCCCGGTGAGGGTAGAAGTGTCTCTCTCTCTCTCCTCGGACGGGTGTCTCAATGAGAATTGCGTCGCAGCGATGCGTTCAAAATGCACACGTGATACCCGCGTCGCGGAAGCATCGCCAAGTGGAAACTCGTGTTCGACGCTTCGCCTCGAACACGTGCTACGTCTCGACGTCGAGCCCGAAAATAAACTTCACGCACCGTAGCCACTTTGCAAAGTGCGTGCCGATGTGACACTTGGACATCGCTTTTTGTCGCATCGAGTGAACCCTCTCGTTCGGAAGAGACTTTATCGGTGGGGAGCAAAGTGCCCCTGATAAAGGGAGTTCGCGATGTCGAATTTTTACCGTAATTTACACCGCAGGAAGGTGATTTTATTGACTTTAATGATCACGTAACGCTTATAATCGTATCCTCGTCGCTCATCGTCTTCACGATAAGCGACGAAAGAGAAATTACCTTTCTTTGAAATTATTATAATTAGTGACGTCAATTCCGGATATCCGGCGGACATCGGAGTATTAAGCGAGTATTCGAATCTTTCGAGTGTCACTCAGGTACTACAGTCCGAGAATTTCTCAAATTATCGGGTATTTCGGTACCCGAGTGCTCGAATAGAAAGAATAAGTAAGAATAAGTAAGAATAGAAGTAACTCGATTTTTGGGTACACGTGAGCACCTGAACAGTATCAGCGATACTTTAAGATACCGGCTACCCGTGAGATTAAGTACTCTGGTTATACAGACGCACAGCCTCTACTAATCGTAACGTTGACCATAAGTTTAATTTTAATTCGGATTCTTCATTGCGGTGAAAGTTCCGGCTTCATAACTTACTCGTGCGATCCGCGCATATGCAACCTCCATTTCTCTCCCCTATTATACATATGCTCTAAGCGTCGTGCATCGAAGGTCACGGCATTCTTAATGGCCTACAGTATGCAATTTGGGGGACACATGGCCGGTGGTGAGTCGTGGTATAGTCATCTTAAAAGCGCGCGGCCACGAACGGAAGTGGCGGAACGTCTAGCCATATGTCAGATATCCTCCTCGGAAATATCTCGCGGCCAGACCTTCCTCAATCTTCTCGGTTTCCAATTGCCGATCATCGATTCCCATGGGCATCCGACACATGTTCGTCTCACGACCCGACTATTCGTTTCTCCCGCTAAGTCCACTTAGGGGGATCTCGAACGCACGAGATGTGGAATATCTATACGCAAGTGTAAAGAGAGACGGCTTGCCCACTGCGCCACTGTTCTGATTCCACACAACGGCTGTGTCTCAATATTCACAGCGGGTACTGAAAATGTGAATAGTGGAAAGCAAGTCGATATCTACACCGGGGAAAAGAGGACTGTGGCGATTGAAAATTCACGCAAACGTCAAGAACGAACGTTCGGCCGACTTCGTTAACGTTCTATGCGCGCTTCATAGTTACTCTTTAGCAGAATAACATTCGCATTTTCCTTTAGTCTTTTGTTTGACAAATCTTTTCCATTCACATTCCCGCTTGTATGATAACTGACCTCATGGCCAGATGTGTCTCTTAATATCGGGATAGAGGGATCGTTGCACGGCGATAACCAATGCATTCGATTCTGGGCGACACGCTATTGCGACGGGGGAAAGAATCAGTTGGCGGACGATGCCGGTCGCCGTGCCGCAAATAGAAGTCGCGGTTTCCTTAGAAACGCGCGTAGCACGCGCACGTGCCGTTTACTGGGGCCGACGTATATAACACTGGATGTGCATGCACGTTGATCGACCGGAGAGAACGACAGAAGCTCGACATCGCTCAGCCCGCCATATGTCGATTTAAAGGATGCCCCGCTCGCGGCTGTGACGCGCTCCACACGCCGGATCCTTTTCTCCCAGTTCCGGACGAACGGAGAGAGGAAAAACGGACGAAGTGGCAAGAACTCCACCCTCGCTTGAAGAATTATTAACGAGTACGCGACGCAAACTATCGGTGTCCGTCGATCCGATCGATCGCGAAAGTCCGCTCACGACGTCTACCTTTCTCCTCTTCCTCCTTTCCCCGAGCGAGAGCGTGCTGCGCTCCTTCCATTTTTCAGCCACGCGTTATTGAAGGAGCGTATCGGCGCGACAAGAACGGCAGGGAGCACAAGGAGCCGCTCGAGGCTCCGGAGCGCGGCAAGTAATTCTCGACAATTATAAAGTGAGGTCATCTACGAAGTTTACGAGATGCGTCGTCACGGCAAATTAATTTAATAAATTCCTCACTCGGCTCCCGGTCACGTATATCGGTGCGTGCGACCGCTGTGCCGGTTTTCTTCCTCGGGCTGCGAGTCCGTCTCCGCGCGAGCGACAGCGCCGCGAGGGGCCCCACGAAGGCCTTAACCCCGCGTTAATTCGCGAGCCGAGCCCGGCCATCTCCGCCCTCCCCCTCCTTCAGCCCTCTTCCTCCTCAGCGAACCACGGGCAGTCCCAATTAAGTTCCCTCTTTTTTCCCGAATAACGTATTACACCGATAACGGAAACGCGTTACGCGAATTAAACGCGGGATGATTCACGGCGATCGAGATAATTAATCGAAGTGGCGTAACGTCACGTTGATACGAGAAAGTCTCTCTCGGTGAGGTGTGTATGTTTGTGGGCGCGTGTGTGTGTAACGTGTGTTTATGTGCGAGCGGAGATGGTCGGAGAGCGGCGCGGGTTAAAAGTTTGCGACGAATAATGAGCACGTCTCGTTTTAATAATTGAAACGTATTATGGAGATTAAATATGGCGTGATATACGGTCGCGCAACGGCGACGTAATCGTGAGAATTTTTCTCGGGACCCTTCGTGCGCGCCGGCGGGAGTCCATAAATCCGCTTTACGTAAAGAGGAAATAACGAGGTAAAAAGGGACAGCTCCATCCGTTATCCGAATTCGAGCGGGGCCGAACCGTCGGAAATTCTGACTCCTCTCGCACGACGAGATAACGCTTCTCTTCGGCGAGATTGTCGACGCGTGCATCTCTTCCCTTCGGCGCGATAATTGACGACGCCGCGGCTTCTGTATTCGGCGGAAATCATTATTCCCGTCGCCGCGGAAAGAACGTCGACGACGTCCGGACATTTTCTCCGCGCGGAAAAATGCCTCCTGAAAATAAAACGCGCGATTAACAACCGGCCGTGCCAAATGAGCGCAAACTGCCACCGCTGCTATTACTAAATTGCTTTCGTGAAACGCGACGTCGATGTCGAGCATAGCGATCGTCGCCTTCGCCTTCCTCGCCGCTCCATGGACATTCAGTACGTGGAACAAAGAATCCAACGAACAATTATGCTGGTGGAACCCGCATGTTAGTTATCTTATCAATAAACATTACCAGCATGACAATGGTGCGATGTCGGCTTCGGAGCGACAACGGCGACGACCGTTCGGAGTCGATTTCGGTGCCGCTGAATTCTTGATTTTCAAATCCACTCTCCGACCTTGTGCAAATTCTGCGTCCCATTTTTCTTTTATATTTCAATTACGTGTATTCATGTTTCGAACACTTTGTTTGTGACGATTACACAACGAGGAAGAACGTATTATGGGCAAGCGAGAGAACTTAAGTACGGATGTCCTAGCGCCATTTTAAATATCGTTAATTAATATCGTTAATATTCAAAATGACAGTAGGACATCCGTGTGCTTAGGCTCTTACTGGCCCATAATAAATTCTTCTTTGGTAAAACCTAGCGGAGCAATTATTACTTAATCATACGGCGGTTTCAGTGAATAACGTTTGTACCTGTGATTAAATGCTCGCATGACTGCACTCTTAAATGCACACTTGGAGCGCATCGTGAAGAAAACTCAGTTGCATGACGCTCTGAGACACGTGCGTGCTCTTTGCATTTATCAAAATGCGATAAGGTGCGTCAGATAAGCAGAGGCAACAAGTTTGAGGATTTCCAGACTCGATACAGCGAATGAAGCGCCAAAGACATCTCGTTTGTCGGCTTCTAGGACTTTGAAAGTAGCGGGCGTGGCGGTCCTCTTTCTCTCTAGTTTATCTTTCATCATTTTCATCCACCACACGCACACATACACACACACACACACACACACATACGCTCTTCACAAATTATCCTTCGTCGGCGCGATTGCCGCTACAGAAAAAGACTCGGACTTTTTTCACCGTCGAACTATAAGACCGCTGACCTTGTATGTTTTTTTTAGTACTCTTTATATTTTGTAGAGTAGAATCTTATTCAAAGCTAGTTAAAATCGGCAATATTTTCACTCGAAGCGATCGTGAAAATACATCCATACGAAATCGTAAGAATGTTTCATTTAAGCATAGAGTGAGTTCTGACGTCGTTTCGAGTGAATGTTTCAAGCAATCGGAATATATTTGTTCTCTGTGATGGTGGAATATGTTAGATTCACTCTTCAGTTTCGAACGAAAATATTCACTCGACGATTCAGAGTGGAATATTCCATTCTATATGAGTGAAAAATCACTCAAATTCGAATGACTCGACTGTCATTCTACTTTTCGAGTGAAATTTCATTTAAAGAAATTTACAGAGTATGTAAAAGTATAACGAAGCATATTAATTGTATTGTGCCTGCATTTTTATTGCATTTTACTTTGCGATTCAACGTACAACGTGTAAAGCGAGAAACTGAGATTCCTTTTACGTCAAGACCACGCCGTTCCTCTTTCCTTCCGATGTTTCCTGCCACGGAAAGGCGAGGATTTGCTACGTTGTGTTCGTACTCTCGCGTTTTTCTTCTTTTTTTTCCCACGACATATCCGGGATCTACAGGACATCCGTACGATTCGGCCGTTTCTGAATTTAATTCTTCCCCGATTCAGGTAAACGAACGATCCACGCGAACGGAACACAATAGTACGGGACAAAGGATCGTTGGAGAGAGGACACGCGGGATCCTTCCTCCTCCCCTTATTCCCTACGATGGATCATGAAATCGTGGTGGAAACTGTTTTCTTTCGATATAAATCTTAGACGAGGGTGCACGGCAATGTCTCGCGCCGTAACGGTTGTCGCAGGGGAGAAATGTTCGCGCTCGTAGATTCGCGATATCTTACAAAATAATTGTTACAATCGAGACAAAATAGAGAAAACGCGAGATATTCGTTCGAAATAAATGTATGTATAACACGGGTACGTTTGTACCGGCTTTACCGTGTACCTTTATACGGTAGCACCTGTGTACTCAAACTGATAAGTATTGGTACCCGAATACTCAGGCTTTTCAGATTCCGGGCAATCGAGCAATAACCGAAATTCTCGTCTACCCAATTAATGCCCGAGATACCCAAATATCCAGAAGTGAGACGTTATATTTATGACACATTTGGAAATATACGGAATTGACATCACTTAGAAATGCATGTATCGGTTCTTTACTTGTTGAGCGATTTAATGTCGTGCGTTACACAATGTTACACAATTAATATTAATTTGTTATTTCCTTTTTGCAGTTATAGATTCCAACTAGGGAAGTCCAATATTTCGCAACGATTCGAGGTCCAATACACGCTGTCACAATACGCCTCGATGAAATTTCGCATGATCTCATCTTCCATCCAGAACGAAGATTCACTTACGGAAATACGCAACATCCGAACTCCACGCGCGAGCGTCACGTATTTGTGATCGACAATGAAAGTTGGAAAATCGTACTTATACAGTAACAACAGTATTCGGACGTCGTGCAAAATTCATTCTCGCCGTCTCGTCTTTTGGATCATCGTAGAAAAGTATAACTCTCACGGAGATGTTGAATGTTTATTTAATAGAAATAATATATTTATTTAAGAAATTAAATATCACACACATATCATCACACGTATTAGATCGGATTAATTTCACAAATCGGAACAATTTGTTCTGTCGTCGTCGTACTCTTGACCGCGACGTGTACTCTCGGCTATATTAATTATTTTTCTAAGGGCAATAAAGAGAGAAAGAGAAAGAAAGAAATACGTTAATTCCCTTTAGCAATGACATTTCGCGCTTCCAGAAAGAAATACTTGTTCGGCCATTCGTGCGTCGTACGTATACATATAACACGAATAGTTAATTTAGTTATATGACGAATTTGATTTATTATTGAAGTCACTTTTTATTAATATAAAAGAATTGTTTGCCGCGTAACTATAGAATTATGATATGCGTGAGGTATTATCAGATAAGAGCGATAATTCGTGTTATACGAATATCATTGTGATCGTTGATACGATATGTTTATTAAATTTTTACACTACTCGCGTGTTTAAGATTTAAGAAGTGAAAGAAGTAAATGCGACATTCTTAATTTATATAAAGACAATGTTAGCGAAATATTTATTACATCTTGCGTTTATTATATCGTGTCATATATATATATATATATATATATATATATATATATATGTGTGGATATATTTATATTTAAGATATATATAAGATAGATAAGGCCGACACACAGAAAGATATACCGAAAGAAATACAGTGTATATCAAAAAGTAAAGACAATCAGCGAGAAGATGATGCAACGCCGAATATAATATACGTACGTATACACTCTTACGAAAGAAAGAAAGAAACTGCAAGGGAAGAGTTTATGTACATTTATTTGCTTCAAGCAACTGCTTTCTATCGTCTCCTCGCTTGATCTTGCTTTTTGATACTCCCTGTATAGGAATGACTTGAAACGCTGCGAGACACAATCAAAAACATCTGTAAATACAAGTGCCTTAATTAATTGTAAGTGGTGAGCCGCATCAATACACTTAAGGCTATATTTTGTATTCGAAACTTTCTTTTCACGGGATATTTATACGATACCACGAATACGTTATTTATTACAATTACATTGAACATTTACATTTGTATGTAGAAAAGCACACTGTATCACAGTGTCTATTTGGTCGAAGTAGTAATCGCTCTAGCGCGTATATACTAACCGACAGAACAGCCTTGACATATGATACGATTAGGTTATTAGAATCTGATAAGCGTACATCTGTTTCTGGGCATTAAGGGGATGTTGGCTGCCGAACTCCGGCAGGAATGTCGGTAATATAGTCATTGGTAACATTATGTTACGACATTATCTATGTCATTAGACATATGACATATATATGTTTGAATATGAAGAACAAAGAACGTATTTACGTGCCTTAATTCCAAGATCTATCCCGATCGTGTTTACTATTTATTCATTAACATGCGACGCGAAGATGCGATTACCGTCTACCGAGACCACACACAAGTACATAAGGATATTATGATCTGCGGGAAACGATCGTGAAAACTTATGAGATTGTTACGAATGTATTTTCAACATTAGCACGCAATTGTATTCATTATAACGGCATAATGCATGTAATACAATTTTATTGCATGCATTATCGAAGACGATGTCAATTAATTGAGTGGATATTATTTTTCTCTTTTGTAAATTTTGCATCACTCGCGGAGAACGCGACATTCGACCGACTTGTTCTCTCTCTCTCTCTCTCTCTCTCTGATATCGAGTATAATCCACATATGATCGAAATATCGAAGAAACGCCGGAGAGTTATCGCTTTAATATTAGGTCTCGCTGTAAATAGTAGATGTAAACGATATTTTATTTGCCATTAACGTGTTAATGTTGGCGCTTCTGTAAATATCAGTGCCTTGACTAAACTTAACATAAGTCTTTGAGGAAGAACTTGTACTTGATATTTTTTATGGAATATTTTTAAAATACATTTTACTATTTATATACATATACATATATATATTTATATATATCCCCACTTGTAGTTTCGATCAGTGATCTACAGTACCGGCACACCGTTGTACCGGATGAAACAACCCACAGATGCATCATCAAAATGAATTCGATCAGAAATTGGAAGTCAAAAACGTGGTTTGAGCGATTACGCACGATCATGTCACTAATTTTTCGTTATTTTGTTAATGTACTTTTTTACTGAAAAATCGATTTGTGAAAAAAGCGGCGTTCATATTGCTATATCACGTGCAGTTACATCACTTCCGCGTCGACGAGCATTAATCGCCTGTCATTGTCGCTGCATAATCGTTAATGTTAATCATATTCGCATATATAATATTTTCATTACAGCATAGTATATAATATTTTTATTACAGCATAGTACAAGTTCGAAACGATATTCTATATCTGTGTGGAGTAGAAAAGGTTAATATTGTTGTGCGATAAAATTATCCAGTTGGCAATTAGGCATCTTAAATTATCCGCTACCGGAACACGTGTTCGACGTATTCTCACTATCTACTGTACTTCCACTGCTTTCTCAATATTTAATCACTGCAGAATTCAGTAATTCTCAGTATTAAATTTCTATAAAGGTGTACTACTCTACAATCCCTCGCGTCGCGATACTTTTTCACGCTTGAAACATTTTATTAATATACGAGGGGGGACCCAAAAAAACCGGATTTTTCATATAAAAACTTTATTTATTAACTTTTTTACAAAATTCATTCAGTCACCTTCAAAGTACTCTCCATTAGATGCGATGCACTTGTCGAATCTTTTTTCCCACTGTTTGAAGCATCTCTGGAACTCTTCAACTTTGATATCGTCCAGTGCCCTTTGCGAAGCTGTTTTTACCGTCTCCACATCATCAAAACGCTTCCCTTTTAGATTTTTCTTCATTCTCGGAAACAGAAAAAAGTCGCACAGGGCTAGGTCTGGTGAATAATCCCCGAGAGGCCAAATAATGGGTCACTCGTAAGGCCTTCCGTGTGTGCGGGGCNGAAAAAAGTCGCACGGGGCTAGGTCTGGAAATATGGAGGGTAAGGTACGACAGGCTATCCCCGAGAGTCTACATAATGGGTCACACGTAAGGCCGTGTGTGCGGAGACATTGTCGTGATGAAGGAACCAGTCACCTGATCGCCAAATTTCCGGGCGTTTCCTCCGCACATCCTCTCGCAGACGTCTTAAAACTTCCAAATAAAAGTGCTGGTTAACAGTCTGGCCAGGGGGAACAAATTCCCGACGCACAATTCCACGAAGATCAAAAAAGACAATGATCATCGTCTTCACATTCGACCTCACTTGTCTTGCTTTTTTTGATCTGGGAGAGTTGGAAGTCTTCCACTGGCTTGACGCTTACTCTGTTTCTGGGTCATACCCGTAACACCAACTCTCATCACCTGTAATGACTTTGGTGAAAAGGGAAACGTTTTGATGATGTGGAGGCGGTAAAAACAGCTTCGCAAAGGGCACTGGACGATATCAAAGTTGAAGGGTTCCAGAGATGCTTCAAATAGTGGGAAAAAAGACTCGACAAGTGCATCGCATCTAATGGAGAGTACTTTGAAGGTGACTGAAGGAATTTTGTAAAAAAGTTAATAAATAAAGTTTTTATACAAAAAATTCAGTTTTTTTGGGTCCCCCCTCGTATATATTTTATTAATATATATAACAACATTTTATTTATATATACAACAGTATTACGTAAGAACATCGCAGTGACTGTGGAGAATCGAATCGTAAATATGAAATCAGATAACTTTTGCATTCTTTAACTAAGTGACAATGCACATCATGCTTTCATAAATATGCTATGTCAAATTGACTAGGTCACTGTATCGAGAAAAAATTAAAATATGACTTTCCCCGTTTCCTGACTACTAACTTATAAAAGTCATCGGCACTATCGGTCGCTCGCAGTTCCAGTGACACGCAAGAGCCTACGAGTCCCGAAAACTAATTGATAATTACCAAGAACAGTTTCCTATAGTACTCTCTCTGGATAAAAGGTAGTGCTATCACTGTACTCTCGATATAATGTTCTTAATGTGTTTAATTGTCCATTTGTATCGTTACAAGTGAGTCGTAATCAGTAAACCGTACGCGAGGAAGACATAGTTCATCGTATCCAACGATATATCAATAGCCGCAACGATGGATGCAGTATCGATAACGACGTATTTGCCGAGCATAAGTTACTCCTTGCTCGCTATGATCATCACCACGCTAATCGCACTGTATTACTATGTCGAGACTGATCGTACGGTTCGTCTTGCATTAAAATTACCAAGTACGTATGAAGCTAAAAGTATCGGTCATGTAACTTTTTCCCTAGTGCGGAAACATGAGAAGTGAAATGTTTCCAAATTAAAAAATTTACGTTTTCCACAAATTTACGCTAAAGGAGACGATTCATGATCAAGATTTATGACCCAGGAGATCACGAATCTTCTCTTCTAACGTGAATTCGCAAAAAACATAAATTTCCTAATTTGAAAACATTTCACGTTTTACTTTTCACGTTTCCACTCTGGAAGAAAAGTTATATAATTGATATCCAGAGCTTGGCAAGTGCTGATATTTCTCTGTTGATGCCGTACGCGCTACATCGTGCGCGATTCGTAATCGATCGTTGTAATTATCTTGTGACCAATCTCCTGTTTGCTTTCTTCCAGATCCACCGCGTATACCCATCTTAGGTCATATACTACTTTCTCTGAAGTTATCTCCCGAAGAAATGTTAAACCGTGGCGTTGAAATCCTATCTAAATATGGGACGGTATTATCGGCCCATTTTGGATCGAGAGCTTTCGTCTTCCTAACAAATCCGCATGATATTGAGATAATCTTGAGCAGTTCTGTCCATCTCGACAAATCTATGGAATATAGGTAAGGACTTACATTAATACGTTGGGTGCGATTATATATAAAAATCCGATCCCCGTGACGGCATATTTTTTAAGAATAGCGGCCCTTAGTGTGTTAATAATTAAAGTGGACACACAGTTTTGTTCTTATTGAAACGTAAAAACTCCAGTAGCGCGAGAAGTTCCGATTTTTTCCTCACTTGAAATCATTCTCATCGCTGCATTGCAGACTCTTCAAGCCCTGGCTCGGAGACGGCTTGCTGATCACCAGCGGCGCCAAGTGGCGCAAACACAGGAAGGCGATAGCTCCCACATTTCACATGAGCATTTTGAAGACATTTGTACCTCTGTTTTATGAGAACAGTCTGGATCTTGTGAAACGACTACGCGAAAAACAGGGACAGCAATTTGATTGCCATGATTACCTATCGGCGGTAACTGTTGACATCTTGACGGAAACAGCGATGGGAGTTAGCAAGAAGAAGAGGCAAAATACCTCTTATGAATATGCAATGGCCGTAATGAAGTAAGTTTGATTGCCATTGCTACTACGTTGTAATTAAACATATAACATTAAATATATAACATTTCGTTGTCTCGCACGCGGAAAAAATTTCTCTTTGCCTTTCTCTCACATACAAATATACAAATACACGAATCATCTCGAATGTCGCAGATTGAGTGATATCGTGCATCGACGGCACTACGACATATCGTTGCGAGTGGATCAGTTCTTCCAATTCTCAAAACTCGCTAAAATACAAGAAAAATTGCTCAATACTGTTCACTCGTTGACGGAGAACGTGATCCAAGTAAAATGGAAGGACATCGAAGAGAAGCAGAAGAAAGAAACGCAAGAAGATGAAATCGTTTCGGAAAATACGGTCACGGAGAATGATGAGAGCAATAACGCCAATTACACAAAGCTGCATTATGTGAGGGATGATCTCGACGAAATCGATGAGAGCGACTTAGGCCAGAAGAAGCGACTCGCCTTCTTAGATATGTTGATGGACATGAAGAAAAACGGCGGGCAGATGACCGACGAGGAGATTTGGGAAGAAGTCAATACTATCATGTTCGAGGTGTGATTTCAGTCTCGTTGTAGTAATGCCTTTTTACGATTTATCGAACCTCTCTACTGAATCACTATAATTAAATTACGTCACTAAACAGTTAGAATCAAAATATGTTGTTACAGTGTGTCGTAATGCATGTATCACGTTAAACGGCACATCAGAAAAAGTAATATAAATAGTAAATTATACTATCTGACAAAATTTGACTTCTTTTGTATCACGAATGTGAATAGTCATTCTCAACATTTTTGCCTGCTCAACACAAATCCGTTGTCCAAATTTGACTACTACGTCACCATTTTGAGAAAAATGGCGTCAAGAGAACAAAAACAATGATTTTGGAAATCTTTAGACGTTGTAGTATCGGCAACACATTTTTTCTAAATTTCATTATTAACTTTTAGAAAAAAATGTGTTGCTACAACATTGTGAAAACCCTCAAAATCGTCGTGTTTTGCCTCATTGACGCCATTTTTCTCAAAAATTGTGACATAATAGCCAAATACGGATAATGTATTCGTGTTCAGCAAGCAAAAATACATCGGAAATGACCACTCACACTCGTATTGCAAAATGATGTTGAACAATATTATCGAAAATGTTACAGGGTCATGATACTACAGCAGCCGGCTCGAGTTTCGCGCTCTGCGCGTTGGGATCTCTTCCAGAAATCCAGGTAAATTATTCACGATCGAATATTTACACACACATGTAATACTTGTAAAATCTGTAAATCCGCAATTAATGACCCACAATTAGCCATTTAATGAAAATATATTATATTAATATTATTGCCGGTATTATATTCCAATTAATTGAAAATGATATTCCAGTATTAATTGATAATTCGTCGTTTTACCTCTCGTGCATTGTACATATAATAATGACGTTAACACGATGACAATGTCTTCACATTAAGTAATATTGCTTTTCTTCTTAATATTTTATCGAGACGCAGTTAATGTAGCTAAAAAGGCGATTAGGTCCTTGCATTCTTTTTGATACCGAAAAACGCCATCTTCGTTCCCGGGATAAATTTTCTGGGAACCTCCAAATATTCATCCAATGTATTCTCATCCCACACGATGGCTTTCCCCTTCATGTTTTCCGAAAAATTAAACCCCAAGTAGCTGCGAATGTTAATAAATGAAATTGTTGTATCAATCGTGCATTCATTAGTATAGTAATTCGTAAACAAAATCGCACAACCGCATATTTTTCCTATCTTTATTTTAGAAATAGTTAATTAGTTATATGCTATATAAGCTATAAGCTAACGCGCTTGTTTTATGCACTTACTTCCGCAAGTCTTACCCATAATGCCGTGCAGGTTAAGACCCATTATGCCATCCTTTTCCGTAGTATGACACGTGGCGCACATTTTGGTGAAAAATTTCTTACCGTTCACCACATCGCTCATCCTGCAGCAAATTGTTAATTTTGTCGTGTAGTTAAATTATCGATTCACGCGCTATTGCAATCGCAATCTGTGATATTCGCTCTCGGTTGATGATTTGCATCCTTGGCGTTAATCATACTGATTATTAGTCGGTCGTCTTTTTTTATTTTTGTCTTCAACTTAACGAAGTTGCACTGGTGGTTTTAATTTTGGATACCCGAATATTTCTCGAATTATCCAGGTGCTCTAATATATAATTGTTTTTATTTATATTTATTCTTCTCTCTCTTTCAAGTCATTCTATGTATAAAAGTACTAAAATAAAGTCAAGCAGAAAAGAAAATATTTCTTAACATTTAATTTTTATATAAGGATATATTAAAACAAAATAACATGTCTAGCAAGATTTCCACTTTTCGTTGATATTACATTAATACTTTTACATTTAGATTTCACTCAGATTCCGCTCAGATTAAATTCAGATAAGAAAAGAATATATTTATATAAGAAAAACATATGACTTCATAAAAAATTATGTTTGAAACACGGATAATATCAATAAATATAGATATACAAGTATCAGGGTAATAACCAGCAAAATTGCATAATCGAGCATAAAATCCGAGTTGTACTGCTAACATTAACTTGTACTGTGCAGGCACGTGTGCATGAAGAATTGGACTCAATTTTCGGTGACAGCGATAGGCAGTGTACTTTCCAAGACACAATAGAAATGAAGTATCTGGAGAGAGTTATTCTAGAGACTCTGAGACTCTTTCCGCCGGTACCAATGATCGCTCGAAAACTTAATGAAGATGTAAAGATAGGTAAGGTCCACTTAAGCGTAATTAAGTCATTAAAAACAATATGATATCATATTATAAGTACCAGTATTAAAAAATATATAAAAACATAAAGCAAAATTCCTTTGTATTAAAGTTACAGGTAATTACGTCCTTCCGAAGCACGTCACTGTAGTGGTCTTGCAATATATGATACACCGTATGGAGGAATATTATCCAAATCCATTAGTTTTTAATCCGGACAATTTTCTACCGGAGAAAATGCAGCAGCGACATTATTACGCTTTCATTCCCTTTAGCGCCGGGCCAAGGTAACGAAGAACGTGTTTCTTCATAAAAATATTCCTTATACTGTCTTAGGTACCCTTAACACCGTAAGACACCGTCGAATCCGTTTAAAATTGGCCGCCTTTTTCTCTAGATCGTGCGTAGGACGGAAATACGCTATGCTGAAATTGAAGGTCCTGTTATCGACAATCCTGAGAAATTATCGCGTTATTTCCAAGGTACCCTACCAAAACTTCGTCCTGCGAGGTGATCTTATCCTGAAGAGGGGCGATGGATTCAACATCACGTTGGAGCCGCGCAGTCCTGCGACTCAAACAGGAGTTACTATTTCCGCATAAGCATAAGGAAGAACAACTTATTAATGTGTGTGTGTGTGTGTGTGTATAAAAATCTCGGTGAAAATTCCATTTTCTATATTCCGTACACTTCCCAATCAGATGTTCTATGAATTACCTCTTTTTACAATTTTTTTCTCTTTGCTTTTCCAGAACATTTATACACGACACACTTGCGAAACGATTTTTCAAATAGAAAACCAAAGAATCATTTGTACGTAATCGCCTTTTCTATGAGAAAAATGAATGTTACTATTTACTCACACCTATTTATAAAACATTAACCTTTCAATGTTAATGTTACTTGTAATGTATCTTGAACAAAATAAAGAATAAAAACACCCGAAGAAATATTTATTTAGCTTGTAATATCAATGATATATAAAGGACATAAATCCATATGCGATGCTTTGTATATTCGCATAACGGAAAAAATGCTAACAACAAAATATTAGGTTGGTGCGTATGAAATGTCGCATTCTCTTTACATGCGGACGTTTTCCTCCCTGTTTTCGTTATACTTTTGTATTTGGCATAACCTCATTCATACTCGTATTGTCCATTGCCAGAGACTCATTTCAACAAAATAGGTTTTCTCGAAGGTCTTCCCTTTTTTATTTCTTTTGAGTTTATTACCGATATGAATTCTGCCGACATTCGCGTCATTTTCTTATATGAGTACAAACTTGGTAATAGTGCTGCAAAAGCTGCACGCAACATAAACCAAGCGTTTGGGGAGAATACGGTTAACAATCGGAAAGTGCAGCGTTGGTTCGAAAAATTTCGGACTGGCGATTTTTCACTGCAAAATGAGCCGCGCGGAAGACCCAAAACGTCTGTGAATAATGATGACCTGAAGGCTCTAGTGGAAGCGGATCCAGCCGTATCCACGAGGGAACTTGCTATCAGGATGAAAGTTGACCATACAACGATATTGAGACACCAAATTGTACTCCCATCGCTTGTGAATCGGCATGGCCCGCTACTGCTCCATGACAACGCTCGGCCGCACACATCGCACAAAACAATTGCGAAACTGAACGAACTGGAATATGAAGTTTTGCAGCATCCACCATATTCACCGGATCTCTCGCCGACCGATTTTCATTTTTTCAAGCATTTAGAGCTGTTTTTAAGAGGCAAACACCATGAAAATGAAGACAGTCTAAAAAACTCGATATCAGAGTTTATTAATTCTAAAGACCAAAATTTTTTTAAGACAGGCATCTACGCTTTAAAATCTCGTTGGGAGAAGTGTATTGAAGCGAATGGAGCATACTTTGATTGAATAAACAGCTTTTGAAGAAAGATATACAGTTTTATACAATCACTTAAGAATCCGACATTTCATGTGCACCAACCTAATATAATAAGAACAAACAATGTGCTAACAGCAAAATATAAAGTTCCTTTCTCATACATGGAAAAAAGTACTTGATGCAACGGCTTCAGTGCGATTAAAATAAGCGTTCTTAATTCAATAGCAATATTATTGGAACAAATAAGCCATGCTATTATTTTAATCGCTTTAATATTTGCGTTAACAGTACAGCAGTTTTGAAAAAACTTCATTGAATCAATCTATCTAATGATATCTATCTATAATAGTTACTTCAACCAAATAATTATTTATTTTATATAATTACATATAAAGTTAATAACTTTTTAGTATATTATTGAGTTAATGCAGTCAATTTAAGCAAATATATTATATAACTAAAAATGGATAGCTAATAACTAATAATATAGAATATTCCATACAGCACAACAAGATTGCAAATACATTGTAGCGATATATTTTGCAAGATTGCAACATTGCTCGTATTTACGACGCTTTACGTCGCAATATCCTTTCAAACTTGCAGCATTTCATTCACAAATAATGGTATTACAAGCAGATAAAATAATAATAATATTTGCCGCAAATCGTATCAAGGAAATTGCAGTGATACGCAATTGCTATATTTTGTAAATGCAGAAAATGCATGTAACAAGGTAATACTGTTTATACTTAGTTATATTATTTAATAGTATTGTCACAACATAATCGCGAATGAATATTAATACAATAAATATTAATACATTCTTTAACATCGGTGTACATCGTCGAATCCGTTCATAATCGGCCGCCTGTTTCCCTAGATCGTGGACAAAACTACATACAATTCGTAGGACGAAAATACGCTATGCTGAAATTGAAGATCCTGTTATCGAAAATCTTGAGAAATTATCGCGTTACTTCTGAGGTACCCTACCAAAACTTCGTCCTGCGAGCTGACATTATTCTGAAGAGGGACGAATGTATATATTAATACAGTTCAATACATTCCGCTTCCTGATGAGCAGCTTAATAATTTATAACATTACATAACATAATATTGTTACGCCCGTGTCTTGATGCCCGCGCCTTTAGCGCCCTGAACATACAGCAGATTCTCTTAGCAACGAGTCGTAAACAATAGATGATCAGCGTTGACTAATAAACAACGGGGTTAAAAAGATTCTCTTTGGGGCCGTTGAGTCGTCGTGACGTGCGCGACGGTCTTTAACCCTTTCGCGGCGGAGTGCTCTGGAAAGAGTTGCGCTCTAAGCAGCCGATGCCAGATCGACCGCGCGGACCAAATACGCGAGTCGTTCCGAACGCAGTGTGTATATAATATTTGACTATGTAAAAAAAACCTTTGCACAAGAAGCGTATGCTGCTAGCACGTCAAAAACAACTTAATGGACATTAATGGCAGTTGTTGATAACAAACGAACAGCGCCTTCGTACGAAAAGAGCGGTTCCGGATGGGCGCCATCTGGCGCTGTTCGTTCACCGCGGGTAAATTTGCCTGAGCGCCGAACGGCGCTGTTCGCTGAGAATGAGCATCTATAGCTGAGCGCCTAAAGGCGCTGTTCGCCGCGAAAGGGTTAACGAAAGAGAGAGCTTAAGTCTGCGAGTTACGTGTATTCCCTTGTAAATAGTAAATATAGTTGAAGTTGTTTTCTTGTTAACGTTGTTTCGTTTTATTTCCCCGCACGAGCGTAACAATATATTGAAGCAACAAAGTTGAACAATCAGTGAAACTATGTCTTTTTCAGCATAAAAAGCAGCTTCGTAAGAGCTTTGCGCTGCAATTTGCAACTGTTTTAAAATTTTCTGCTGGACGATATCAGTGGTTTACTCTTTTCCAACTAGTTTACTAAACGATCATCATTTTTTGCAGCATACATTTAATTAATACGCTGGTCCACTTAGTAAACATGTTGGAACAGCGTAAATTGCTAAATATCGTTCAGCAGTAAATCTTACAACAGTTGCAAAGCACAGCGTAAAACATTTACTAGATTCTTCTTTGGCTGAACGCAAAATTAACATATTTAAATTAAACATACAAACGATAACGTCAGTGCATATGCATACAATGCATATGCTGTGTCAGAATGTTTTAATCATTTTATAATCGAAAAACGAAATGTAATACTATATCATTTCCTCTGACAATTCCTCCTCTGATTAATATAGGCATTATTGCGCGAACATTCATGCGATATCGTTCTGTCGCACTGCGAAAACCTACGAATCTACAAAAGTTAAAAGTGCTAATTAACGGAAACAGCTTTTCCTAAATTCTCGACAAAAGGTATTGTTATGCCGGTATTTACGATATATTTTTTCAAAATTGTTTAATTGTTCATTTGTATTGTCTCAATCAGTGCACGAGGACTGTGGGGAAGAAAGAGGAAAGCAGAGCACATCATACCCACCGGTATACCAATATTTGTGCATAACGATGGATACGACATTAACAATATCATATCTACCGAATATTGGTTATTCTCTGCTGGCTACAATTATCGTCACGTTGATAGCATTGTATTACTATGTTGAGACCAAGCATGAGATTCGCCTTTCGATGAAAATACCACGTACGTAAAAAACTCCAATACCTCAATAGATACTTCATCATGATGCACCCAACTCACGCTTGATTTATAATTAATAATTGTAATTAAATGTGACAAATTTATGCTATCTATCTTCTTCCAGACCCTCCACGCGTACCAATCCTTGGTCATACCCTATTAACTTTAAAAGCGAAACCTGAAGATGTAATAACCAAGGGTGTGCAATTTGCCGCTGAACATGGGGAGGTAATATCGGGACATTTAGGACCGAGAGCTTTTATTTTCCTGATGAATGCACAAGATATTGAAGTGATCTTGAGCAGCTCCGTGCACATCGAGAAAGCCGTGGAGTATAGGTAACGAATTGGATCAGTAATTAAAGTGAACCAACGTAGTCTTATACTTTCCAAGACGTAAAAGCGTCTGGACAATTATATAGTCTTGATTCTACTCCTATTTATAATTATTATCATCGCTATAGACTCTTTGAACCATGGCTCGGAGATGGCTTGCTGATCACTACCGGTGCCAAATGGCGGAAGCACAGGAAAGCTATAGCTCCCACATTTCACAGAAACATTCTGAAGACGTTTGTGCCTCTGATTTACGAGAACAGTTTAAATCTTGTGAAGCAGCTTCGCGATAAAATCGGCCAACAATTCGATTGCCATGATTATTTATCGACAGTAACAGTTAATATCTTAACAGAAACGGTGATGGGAGTTAGTAAGGAAAAGAGGCCAAATACCGGATATGACTATGCAATGGCCGTGATGAAGTAAGTTTCTTCGCCGTTATTACTTGGTGTTGAAGTTATAGATATAAAAATTAATTGTCTCATTTACGTAAAAGATTCTCCTCCCCCCTTTCTTATATATAAATACACGTAAGCACTTATACCTCGAATGCCGTAGACTGAGTGATATCGTGCACCGACGGCACTACGATGTATCGTTGCGAGTGGATCAGTTCTTTAAATTCTCAAAATTAGCCAAAATGCAAGAAAAATTGCTCAATACTGTTCACTCGTTAACGGAGAGCGTGATCCAGAAGAAATGGGAAGACATCGAAGAGAAGGACAAAAAGGAAGCGCAGACAAATCACAAGAAAATTTCGACTGAGAGCTCGGAAATCGGCAAAAGCATCGTCAATCACAAGTTGCATTACGTGAGAGATGATCTCGACGACATCGATGAGAACGATGCGGGTGACAAGAAGCGACTAGCCTTCTTGGAGATGTTGATGGATATGAAGAGAAACAACGGACAGATGACCGACGAGGAGATTTGGGAAGAAGTCAATACTATTATGTTCGAGGTATGGTCTCTGTCTCGTTGTGATAATGCGTTCTTATGATTTACCGAGTCTCTCTACTAAATACCGTAATCAAATGCCATACGTTGCTACACCGTATCGTAACGCGCCTATCACGCTAAAACGACGCGTCAAAAAAGAAATTTATTTAGCAAATATGTTACAGGGCCACGACACCACAGCAGCTGGTTCGAGTTTTGCGCTCTGTGTGTTGGGATGTCTTCCGGAAATTCAGGTATATTTCTTCTTCATATTTTCCACAAAATTGAGTCCCGAAGAGTTACGATCATAAGTGAAATTGCAACGTCTATTGTACATTAACGTTAACATGCGTAGCAATGTTAAACGGCGCGCTTAGCACCATGCTCCTTCCACCATTACCTTCAAAATAGATAATTAATTATCAACTAATAAGCAATCAACAATAATCTTATACAAAGAACGGTATCCGCAAATTTTAGTACTCGATCATATGGATTTATATTGTAGAAATTATACCTGTATATATTTTGAGTCCTACTATACAAGTATCCAATTTGTACTGACACTAACAATTTTTCTCTGTGCAGGCACGCGTGCACGAAGAATTGGACTTAATCTTCGGTGACAGCGATAGGCAATGTACTTTCCAAGACACAGTGGAAATGAAGTATCTGGAAAGAGTTATTCTGGAGACGCTGAGACTCTTTCCGCCGGTACCAGTAATCGCTAGAAAGCTTGATGAAGACGTAAAAATAGGTAAGTCGATCCCAATAATGACGATTGCATCATTAACTGTGTGTATATTCTAGAAACCTGTCCTATAAATTTGACTAAGACGCAAAACAAATCTTCTTTATGTAAAAGTTACAGGCAATTACGTTCTCCCAAAGAATTCCACCGTACTGGTAGTGCAATTCGCGGTACATCGTTCGGAGAAGTATTACCCGAATCCGCTAGTTTTCAATCCAGATAATTTTCTACCGGAGAAAATGCAGCAAAGACATTACTACGCTTTTATACCCTTTAGTGCCGGACCGAGGTAACGAAGAATGTATTTTTTCACACAAAGCATTCCTGGTGCTATTTTAGGACAATACATAGATATACGCTGTCGAATCCATTCATAATCGGCCGCCTTTTTCCATAGATCATGTGTAGGACGGAAATATGCTATGCTGAAATTGAAGGTCCTGTTATCAACAATATTGAGGAATTATCGCGTTATTTCCAAAGTGCCCTACCAAGACTTCGTCCTGCGAGGCGATATTATCCTAAAAAGAAGCGACGGATTCAACATCAAGATCGAGTCGCGTAAACCCGCTTCTCAGACAGGAGATATTATCTCCTCATAGAAGTGAAAAAATACAAATATGCAAATGTGTATATGTGTGTGTGAGTGTATACATATGTGAGTGTGGGCAATAAACCTATTGTTAATATTTAGAAATCTACTTCTCATTCATATGTATCGGACTATTAGTTTCTCCTGAGAAATGTTCTATTTGCCATTCCAAATTTCGTTTCTATAATATACATGACGAACAATAGTTTAAGTTGAAAATATTAAAGAAAATTGTAGATATAATAGTCCCCTCTAGATCAATTATATATAACACGCTATCATTTAGGTTTTTGCGGCGATTACTAATATTCAATTGCTAATATTTATGTATATATATACATCTATGTACATATAGATATATTTATATACATAATATATATATGTATGTATCTTCAAACGAATAAAAGATAAAACAAATAGCACTGTTGAGACGTCTCTTCTTTCTTGACATGCGCTCTTTCTCAATATAAATTTTTCCTAATTCATTAGCATGCCATACTGCGAAATACATCATTGTCATAAAAACAACATTGTTCAGACTCACCACTACTAGACGACTACAGCACGATCACCTGACACAAATGACAAGCGATTTGTGTACAGTCATGGACAGAAAGATTGACTCATTCCCTAGACACAGTGATATCGGAAATTCCGAATTTAGAATATCATTTCCGCACATTCATTACTGCCGATTATTCCGTGAATTGACAATGCTGTTCCAAAGTAGCAGTCATGAAGTACAACATTTTCAAAAATTATGCATTTCATTCGAAATTTCTGATATCACTATGGCTAGGTAATGAAAAAACTTTCTGTGCATGACTGTACATCCACAGACTTGGTAGACAGAGCGGGGAAATATAATTTATAAATTATTGTACGGAATTGTAAATGTACGAAAACAACACAGCAGAAATTAACGAAATCAAATAACGTAAATTTTTCATTGGACGTATAGATGTCGGTGCATATTATTAATATGTTACACGACACATAATAATTAAAGAAGGAAATGAAAATTAGATTTATAGTTCATGATCTGAACCTTATAGATTATTAATTTTACCGCGAATGCGATATAATCCCGTTACAAACAACAAGTTTTTAAAACTACATACGGTTTAATACAATAACAATTTTCTAAACACTCGGAAATAATGGATCAATATGTTGTGCTCCATCTTAATCTCTCTCTCTCTCTCTCTCTCTCTCTCTCTCTCCTTCCCTCTTTCTCTCTCGCGTCTTCTTATTAAATGTCATTGATGCTTGTCATGATGACAAGTTATGTTCCTCAATCCGATTTTATAACTTACAATTCGGCTAGCATAACTTCACATTCATCCCAAATATATTTGTTATTATAAACTCAACATATGCCTATATCGACTCATTGGCAGACAGACCATAAAAAAATAGTCACGCCCAAAAAGAACCGGTCTCTTTCCGCGTCAGAAGAACTGCATAATCATGGTACATGTATCATAATAAGCGTTGCACCTATCAATATTAATTTTGATGCATGTACCAAAAGATCCTAAGAAACCGTCGGTAAATATTCTCTGTTTGGGATCAAGAATCAAAGCGAGTCGAATACCGCCCGAACAGTAACAAAATACGATAAATTGTAATATCAGATAAATAACGAGCATGATAAGGCAACATTCAAAATACATATATATGTGAGATAATACGCCCAAAATTAAGAACAGTAAGGAAGTATACAAAATTAAACATTGGTTTGCGGGCGGCATACATATGCTTGCAAATTCCATAAAGATTATGACCGCGAACAAGTATTTTGGCTGCACGTTCATACCATTGTAAAGACGGCCAATAAGACTTTCTATAAGAAGACTAAATTTAAGACGATGTATGATACGATGTCCAATAGTAAGTACCGGGTTTTAAGAGAAACTTAAGTTATAATAGGTTACAATTTCGATGAAAGTACGATTTGCAGAATATAATCGTGCAGTGAAAAAGAGAAATTCAATATTTACCTGAGTACTTATACAAAGCGTTCATCCGATAAGCTACACGGGGTATTGCATAAGCGTCAGTACGACGGATTGCTGCTGCAAAGGAACGTGTGAGAGAGTGCGCGCGATCGGATTGATTTCGATCTTACTCGTTCACGCGTGCCATTGCAGCGGCAACCCCTAACAACATATATATTTATACAATATCCTATGTGTTAGTTTCTCGATCATCAACATCTTATTGTCGCTGTCTTCCTTCAAACTACGTATACTGCTTTATTAGGCATTGAGAAATACGAGGATCACGTCAAAGAGCGATTCGACATTGCCAAACATCGCGGTATGAAAGATGTAGTTTTCTAATTTTTAAATTAACTTAAGATACGTAGAATTTTGAGATGAAACAGGATTATATTGCGCGAGCCTATACGTAACAGTGT